AAATTAATACAAATTTTAAAGCTGGTAATATTGTGTAATTTGTGTATAATGTAATATTTATTGTAAAGTTTACCTTGTTTAAGTAATACTCTCAGCTTAGGATTTATTACAATTATGATTGACAGCAACTTTTCGGTTAGTTTTGGCATTTCGTACATAAAATAACTGATTTGTGTTGTTTGTTTGGTTTATATTTTGCTTTATAATAATTTTCTGATTATTACAGATATAAGGTTTAAATTTGCTCAACAATTTAATACATAGATTAGTAAACATAAGGACCGACACACCAAACCATAGGCCTAGAAGTGATCCCATAAACAGCACGTACTCTTCAAATGGCATTTTAAGTGATATCTCGTATATAGGGTGACCACCAAAAATGCCCATAAAAAAGGACAACTGACAAAAAATAGCTCTCGAAAAAAGGACAAAAAAGGACACACAAAATTATTTAATGAGATTTGTATTAATTCGATACAAATGGGTTAGAATTATTTATTATTATATTTTTGTAAAGATTTTACAAATCGTAGTACTATCTTAACATTTTGAATATGCTCTTTAAATTCAATACAAGTATTTAATTGTAAATATTTTTTACAATCATAACAAATAATATTTTTTATGGCACAATTTCAATGAAATTTTCAATAATTTTTAAAATATTAATCTTTTTATATCGAAATTAATAAAACTAAAAAAAGGACAAAGTATAGTCCTTCCCGACTACTCAAAAGGACGCTGCCCTGAAAGGTTGAAAAAAGGACAAAACCCATAAAAAAGGACGTTCTGGTCACCCTACTCGTATACCATATTGGGTTCGGACGGTATTTGGAAAAATACTTCGACAATAGAATCTGTGCTTTGATTAAGTTTATCGAATTCGTAATAGAATGAGTGGTAGTGTTGTATACACTCTATTCGGTCGCTGTATTCACGTTCGCAATGCTTTTTAATAGCCTTGTCTTCATAAAGTCCATGACTTGCCGTACGATTGCTTTTATCAATTTCTTTATAGTAAATGTATTCTAAAGGGAATACAGAATATTTTTGGTAATATTGTTGAATAATACATTTGTCAACGTATTTAACAACGCTGTGTTTCATTAAACATTTCTCGTCATTAAATTTGTAATTTAACATAACAGTAGATTTGTGATACTTAATCTCGGCGCGTGTTATTTCACCAAGCGGTATTCTAAGGATTTGTTTCCAGTAAAAGTCGCGCAACCTGTCCCATCTCGAATGAAAATTTACATATATTTTATCACGAATTAATGCGGCATTAGTAAATACAAATGACAACAGCCTGTTTGTAGAGCTCGATAGGTTTAATTTATACTGGGTGTCCGACTCGCCCTCCCATTGCGAAAACACTGACCAACACATTATGTTTTCTTTATCCCAGTTTAAATTTAGACCCACACAAATGGGTGCTAAATCAATGCATGGCATTTTCATACCCAAGTAGTAACATTTATAAATGTTATATTGCCAACAATGTCGATTAGTTCATTAATTTTATAATTAGGCATTACTCTCATATTGATTGTGTCATTCGTTGTTATAATAGATTTTATAAGTGGACTAATTTCCGTGCAAATAGTGAGTCCCGGCAGATACATCTCTGTTGGCAATTCTATACGTATGGTTGTTGTGGTTTCGTATGAGAAGTATATGTAACTCATTTTGTAGGTTTGGTATAGGAATCCACACAATAGTAATGCATTCGTTATACAACTCTTTACGGATATTTTGGACAACATTTTGTTAATGTTTATTCTGGTTTTATTTCATTTAGCTGCTTATATGGCAAAGTTTAGTTTCAAGTTTATATAATATATTATTATTCTAGGAAAATTTTAATTAAGATATTTATACAAAAACATTTAAATTTTACATAAAATGTTTATGTATTATGAATAGTAAATTATGGAATTTTTGTCGTAATACAATCATAATGTAATTTGTATAGAATTTTCATATTAGAATACTAAAAATATTGAATTGAATAATAATTAATATTGAATAATAACTGGTATTTAAAATTAAATATTCATGCTAATATAAATGTTATACAATCTTGTACTGAAGTCATGAGTGAGACGTCAGAGCGAGCAGTTGTCTTTCAGGCAAAGTCCCTAATATCAGCGTTTGGTTCAACAGTATCTTTGTATCCAAAGACCGCACGCGATGTCAGAGCGGGCGCTAAGGTCTGCACCGACGGCCTGCTGGCCATAATAAAGTCACTTTCGGACCAATTGGCCGAAAATGAGTCAAATAGTACTCACAATGTGCTCTCAATAACATGTGAGCAAAAAATGGACGCCATATTAAGTGCTGTAAACAACGTGTCAGCAAAAGTGGATCACATAAAGACATCAATCAGTTCACCCAAAACGTGGTCATCAGTGGTTAAAAGCGATCAACAACAGCAGCAAACATCACCGCCAAAGACATCACCCAAACTGTTTCCAGTTGTGGTCAAACCGACGGCCGGACAGACTTTGACATCAAAGGCGAGTGAAATGAAAGTTAAGACTAAACTGAAGACAAATAAAGAGATCAACGTTTGTCAGACCCGGTATATCAACGGCGGAGGTCTGGTCATCGACTGCCCAACAGAGAGAGATCGGCAAAAACTGATTGATTGTATTAAACGCAACGTCGCCGACGTGTCGGCCGGCAAACCAAAGCTTAAAACCCCGAAGATAATTATCTATGGAGTGGATAATGAGTGCACCGAAAGTGATGTCATCGCAGATTTGGTCAACAAAACAGTGATATCAAGAAGTTCTTCGACGACAACTCTCACACACCCGAAGACAAACTCAAAGTTAGATTCAAATTAAGAAAATCTGATCCAATGGGAGACAACAGTTGGATCGTAGAGACAGATCCCGAAGTGTTTGCAATATTAAAACACATGAATCGTGTGTTCATTGGCTGGAAATCACACAAATTTAATGAGTATATGTTTATCAATCGCTGCTTTTGTTGCCATCGATTCGGGCATAAAGCCAGTGATTGCAAAGAGAAAGACACTATTAACCAGACGTGTGGCAATTGTGGTGAAAATAACTACCAAAGAGATTGTAAAAAACCTAAGAAATGCATTAACTGTGTTCGTCATAACAGCCATCCAAAAACAACAAGACAGCGACCGACAGATCACACGGCGTTTGACACAACCTGTCCATCATATGTGAGACTCAAGAAAGTGATCACTGAATCCACTAATTATAGATAACATGCCTATCGATGAGATCAAATGTATTCACAGCTATAGTGAGACTTTTGAGAAATAACTGCTTTAACTGACAATTATATAAGTTTTTGTATTTTAAATGTAATTATAAATATTTTGTATAATATTATAATCATAATGAATGATCGATAACAAATAGTGTAACGGAAGATAAATAATGTACATAATTATAAATTAATCTGAATTTAAACAAATGTATAGCCCTTTAAAGACATATGTATAGAAAGGGCGCAACTTATAATCATGAATAAATATATTTAAATCAGTAAAAAAAAAATCTTGTACTGTATATGATTTAATAAAATAATAAATTCAAATAATAGTTTGCATCATTATCGTTTGCAATTCAAATATTTATAATATAATAAATAAAATACAAAAACATTTAAAACAAATTTTGGGCAAATGATTGATAAATATTTTTACTGCAATACTCTGCGAGTCTATTAATAGCAATGATCTCATTGTCCGAGTGTTCAGACACTGTATTCAATGTCTCGCATATATTCACAAATACCCACAACTTATGGAAAGCGTATAAATTCTGTTATATAAATATTATGTTATAATTAAAATTAATTTTAAATTTTAACAATTATTAATTTATAAATACCTGATTAAAATTAAAGCAATTTTTGCTATAAATGTCGACAAATTTTCGATAACACTGTCTATTATTGAGCTCTTGTTTAGTGTTTAGAATAGCATTGCAATCGACTGTCAGTAAGTGTTGAATACTATTCACGTATTCAGACATATATTTGTCCACATATTGCCGGCCATCCAGTAATCTTTGTAATTCAATCTCATATTTATTAATTAAAATTAATTAATTAATCTAAAATTATTTATATACAGTCTATACAGTATATAACAGTTAGTTCATAGTTAGTAAATACCGTTGTTTTTCATCAATATCCTCAGATAATGCAATATTCATTTGAGCCAAATGTATGGCCACATCCCTATTGTATGCCAAATCAGCCAATTCTGGAATTTCCGAGTCAATCGCATAGTTTGCACCACAATGTAATTTACCTGAATCAAATAAAGCAACAAATTAATTTGCATTTTAATAAGCTACAATTTTATAAATATACTATAATTAATTACCCATATACTCTGAAACATGCTGTTGATAGAGTGACCAGAACGTCCTTTTTTATGGGTTTTGTCCTTTTTTTGACCTCTCAGGACAGAGTCCTTTCGAGTGGTCGGAAAGGACTATACTTTGTCCTTTTTTTAGTTTTATTAATTTTTAAAATGGGAAATATCATTGACTGTGACACTATGTAAAGCTGTAAAGTATTAATAGTAAAGCACACAATAAATGAATAATAAAAATAAAGTACAAATCTATATTAAAAAATGTTGAACTTTCCCCTAAAAAACAATAATAAAATTTCAATTAAATAATTTCAACCCTTTGTGACCAAAAGCATGTCATTTGTTGTGTTTGTTAAAAGTGTTTACAATTAACTAATGATTAAAAATGTGTGATAAAACACCGGCTAAAAAGCAAAAGCGCTGGTCAACAGTGCAGGACAAGTGGTTTGTGGACAATGACTACAAGGACTGGTTGGCAAAGAGAGATGAATACACAGTTGTGTGCAATTATTGCAGCAAAGAGTTGGTCATTAAACACGCCGGCATATCCGCTATTGTTAACCATAAGAACAGTCATATCCATAAATCTAATGCCATTTCACGTAAAATGAGTAAATCATTGACTAGTTTTGTAACTGTGATGACAAACAAAGAAAACAATGACGTGTCTATTGCGGAGATAACCTCAACATATCATTGTGTTTATCACTCATTAAGTTACCGATCCATGGATTGCAATAATAAATTGAATAAACATTTATTTACTGATTCTAAAATTTGCCAACAAATCCAATGCGGACGTACAAAAATGGAGGCAATTGCCGAGAACATTTTGTGTCCATTATCAATTGAACAGCATTTAAATAATATTAAAAATAAACTCTTTTCAATATCAAGTGATGCTTCAAATAAAGGCAACATCAAGTTATTCCCAATAGGAATACAGTATTTTTCAATTACTAAAGGAATCCAAAATTTTGTGCTTGATTTTTATGATGATCCCGATGAAACATCTAATGGAATTTTTAATAAATTAATATCGTGTTTGCAAAACAATGGACTTAATGTACAAAATGTAATATCATATACTGGAGACAATGCATCAGTAAATTATGGAAAATATCATTCTGTTTATTCTCAATTTAAATCGCAAAATAATAGCATAATAAAAGCTAACTGTAATTGTCATGTGCTGCACAATACAGCTAAATATGCATTAAATCAATTACCATTTGATGTGGAAAATCTCGTTTTGAAAATGTATTCACATTTTGCTATATCTGCAAAAAGGATTGAATCATTGAAAACTTGTTATGATTTTGTTGATAAAGACTTTGAGGATCTGAGAAGACACGTAACGACACGTTGGCTATCATTATTTCCTGCATTAAATCGTTTAATTGAAAATATTAATCCTTTAAAAAATTATTTTATCGCAATTGAAACTGAAGACAATCCAAAAATAATCAGTGATTTTGTGTGGTTTGAAGTGCCAAATAGTGTAACTATTCCTGAATTATATTTACATTTTTCTTTACATTTTATGCAATTATTTCACTCATCTGTATTGACATTAGAAAAGACAACAACAAACTCTACAAATTTGTTTGATATTATGTTTAAATTAAATTCTCAATTAGAGAATCGGTTAAAATTAGAGTTTTTTGGTTCATTTTGTAATGAAAATGTATCAAAGTTTAGTGATTCCCAAAAGAAAGACTTTTTAATTAATGCAAAACAAGTTTATAATAGAGCCATAAGTTATCTAAGTAATCATTTTGATTTTAATAACAGTCCCTTTAAGTTATTTAAATCACTAAATTTAGATTCAGATTTAAATTACAATGATTTAATTAAAATTGTGGATTTGCTTGACATTAAATCCCAACGGGATCAGATTTTTGATGAGATCACTCTTTTTAATAATTTATTAAATTCGACTGAATTTAAATCATTAAATTTAAATACAATCGAAAAATATTGCAAAATATTTCAAACAAATGAATTTAAAAACTTAAATATAATAATAGAAACTGTTTTGTCAATACCTATTGGGAATGAATTCATTGAACGCGTATTTAGTCATATGAAAAGGTATTTCAGAGATGACAGAAACCGAATGCAAATTACTTTACTTAAAGCCGAAATATGTATTAAAAACAACTTTAATTTGAATTGTATTGAATTCAAAGAATTCATCAAGAATAACAAGAAAGTACTGAAATCTGTAAAAACTTCCCAAAAATATAACAATAAATAATATCATATCAATTAATATTTGCCGTCCTTTTTTGTCCTTTATTTTGTGACTTATTTTGGTCAGGTGTCCTTTTTTAGGGGCACTTTTGGTGGTCACCCTAGCTGTTGACCAATATATTTATTGCCATATTGAAGAGCATGCTGAGTCCAGTCCATTACAAATGTAGTATTTGTGCCAGATGGCCACCAACCAGATATGGTTAAATTGGGCCGATCAGCAATGTATTGGTATTGGTCATTAAGGGATTCCATGTCAGGGTAATAGATCTGGCTATTTTCAAACCACATTGTAGCAAAGTATGATGCTACAAATATATAAATATTAAATTAACATAATAAAAAACCAATAAACACTACTATATTTACTAATTACCGGTAAAAGCTCTATGTAAATAATCATAACTATATTGGGCACCATATTCATCTGGTCGGCTCGCAGCTAGGGCGTAAACATTTATATCGGCAGGCAAATAATTGGCAAAAATTGATCCTAGTAAATAATAATTATTAGTAATTATATTTTTGCATTTTATAAATGCATTTTTTGCCTTTTCAATTCTCTCTCTCTCTCTCTCTCTCTCTCTCTCTCTCTCACCTGCTAAACATGATCCGAGATAAAATACCATGTGCGAAAATCTCTTATTTGTATGCATAGTCTTTAGAACATTGTTTAGCTCTTCGGCGTGGAGTACAGTATTGTTTGGGAATAATACGACCTCTAATATACAAAAATTAATTATTAATTTATTTAATTATGCTAGATTCTAGAAAATTAAAACAATTGGTTACGCACCTTTCTCACCATTGCTCAGTAAATACAGTGTAGGCCCCCTATTTGTGAAATGAACTTTACATTAAAACTCTATAGACACTATAAATTTTCACAATGACCTTAATTATTTTCAGAAATACAACACCAAATTTAACCAAAATTTGATGAGTAGTAGTATTAACTCCCTTCGTTTGTCTACTAGAGTTATACTTGAATTCACTGACGATTCCGTTCGTAATAACTATTTCCCCGAAACGTACTTCAACAACAATTATGACAATAATTATAGTGATATAATAAACCTAGAATAAATTCAATGTGGCTATTTTGTAATCAACTATAGACTGTATGCCCACCATAATTTATTTCAATTGGGAATCACTTATACGGAAAATATTTTCATAAATACACTTAACAAAATTCCCGTATTTGCCACAATTGCCAATAATTTTAAAAATGTAGTGTACATTCCCAAATAAATGGAAATACAACCAGATTTGGTTGTAATATTAATCTATAATATATATATAAATTATTTTGCAAAAGATTTTGTTAAAGTGCTAGTTCAGGGGCCTGAGCAATTATTGTTAGAAGTTTACAACATTTTTACTTTCATTAGTTGAATAAGTTTGACCACGGCTTTCCGATGAGTAGGTAGGTAACCAATCACACTTGGATTAGTTACATGAGATACACATCCTTAAATTTATATACTAGAATAAAGATCAGTATCAGTTACTTTCTTGTAAAATTAAATATATTATAGCATGTATAATCTTTCACAAATAGGGTGCCTACACTGTAGACAAATATGCGCTCGTTGGGCCCACTGTTGACCACGTTTTTACCCTGCTTGACTAATTCTTGATCGCTTTGTAGAACGCCCAAAAAGTTCTAGCATGTTAAACATTTTACGTTTAATAAAATTAATTAAAGTAGCTATTTAATTTTGCTATTGCCCAAATACCTTCACTGTGACATGATCTCCAGTATAGTGTTTGGTCACTGCGTGGTAAACATCGGTGCCATTATCATGGTTAACAACAATGCCAGGCGTAGGGTTGCTAGGATTGTGAGCTACATCATCGATGTGCATAACAATTATATTTTCATCGGGAATACCTTGCGATCGGACCAATTGGTACGCGTGGTATATGTCGGCCTACAGGGTAATTATAATTCTGCATGGCGACTTTAAATTTTATTTTAATTTATAGCTTTACCTGAACAAAATAGTTAAGCCATTCGCCTGAACCGGCGCATAACACCACCCAATTTTTGCCATTTGAACCTGGGTCACTTTGGGGGATAAATGGGACCCCGTTTACCGACACTAAAGTTAAAGTAAAAGTTATAAGAATTAATATTTTCATTATTAACATAATCTTTAATTGTAATAAATTCAGCTTATACGTATAGTATTTATACTGTGTTAAAAGATTTAACATTAAAGCATCAAGTTTTGTTACTCACCCAATATTGTGCTATAATTCTCACGATTATTACTTTTAATTCACATATTAATTTTAAACCCAATATTAGGTTGACTTACAAATTCAGGCAGATAAGATTGTACATTTAATAATTACATAGATTAATATATAATAACTTAATGAAATGTTTAACTTCTTAAGTGTATTGTACATGAGTGACAAACAAACACACATATGTTTGTATATTGATACTTAATTATCATATTGAATAAATAGATTGTGCAATTCAAAAATTAACTAAAAGTGCAAATATAATTCAAAATTTAATTTGGTAATAAAATAAAATTGTACATAATGTTTTAATTATATGCTATCTAATATTGATTTGACCAGAACCATTTAAGGTTAGTTTTTTAAAAACTGACCAGTTATTTGTTGAATTAAATAAATGTGTATTTAAATTAATAAAGTACGGAAACGTTATAATTTAAATATTGGTAGATTTTATGAAAAATATAACATTTAAATGGTTCTCATCAATTCATAATGCATGTGTAATGTTTTACAAAAAATATATAAATGTTTTACATATTTAAATTTAATATAAGATTTTAGCTGTGATGATCATGCACATTTTTAGCTTCAATGCAACAAGTTTATTGAATCTTTTGGGCCATATTCTGGTCAATATTGATGTGACAGTAAGATATCAATTGGTTGAGTGCGATATTCACGTCATTCCAATCGCGCAGTGTTTCGCAAATATTCACAAAAACTTGCATTTTCTTCAGAGCGTATGGATTCTGTTAGTAATAAATAAATAAATTTAATTAAATATTATAATAATGTAAAGGAGGATGTCGAAGACCATATGTTAATTTGCCTAAAAAAAATAATTTTTATTTAACCCTACGAAAAAAAGTTACCAAATTTGTACCTTGGCCGATTTTTAGTTCAAAGTTAATTAAATGCGATTTTCTTTATAATACTAAACATATGTTAAATTAGAAGTCAAATGATACAAGTAAAGATGACAACCCGACCTCGAATTTGGCCATATTGGTCACTATTTTTGGTAAATATAAACTAAGTCAAAATTAACNATATATGAAATCAATGTAGAATTTAACGTAGAATCAGATTATAGTAATATCACATCAGTGAAATTTAAAGATTTCTTGTAATTTATGTAAAACTACTAAAATTCATTAAAATAAGTTATTACACCACACGAACAACACCGCCAGAATCCCGACTACCAACCACAACATCCCCACAACCCCAGCCACCACCCACAACACCAATACAACCCAGACTTGATTTCCAGATTAGGTTGTGAAAATCCAATTCCCTCGCCTAGGTCATCGAGGTCACTCTCGTGCAAGAATTGGGTCATTCTCACCAGTAACAAGTTGAGGAACCTTGTGACAGACTTCGAATGGACCAAATCAATTTTCTATACAGAACACTTCATGATTACAAAAAAACTGAATTTCAGCTAAAAAATAATTATTCATTTTAATTTATATTTTTCTTTTATTTTAGCATTAATTCAAGAATAAAGTATGATTTGTAAAAAATTATCAATAAACAACGTCAAAGTAACAAAAATTAAAATTAAAATTTCTTAATTTGGAAATATTTCAAATACGATATGTTCCGTGCAAATAATAATGATATATTCTGATTCTACGTAAAATTCTACATTACCCATAGGATAACATTAGCCCATGTTAAGTCTATGGAAAAAGCTCCATAGGATTAGCATTACCCATGTTAAAGTATAGCCATAGACTTAAGCTGTAATACCATGTTAAATCCCATAGAGCGGGGGGAGGGGTCAACCGATTGGTGGGGGAGGAGAGAGAGAGAGAATTATTGATATATAATTTGCAAATAACTACCCAAACATATAATGTATTTATTGATAAAGAATTTAAATTAGAATAAAACTTAATGTGTGTTTATGTTTGCGCTGACAATAAAAGCAATCGTAAACTATAGGGAAAAGTATACAAAACAGTATTATATGGCCAAACCTGGAGAAGTCATAGTTAGTGTCAATAGCGTTGGATACCAGAAGCAATACGTGCGCCGACGGTATGCGAAGACAATTACATAAATAAGGTTTCGTTGTCTCCAGTAGTGAGACATAAGCAATGAGTTGATGGCCACGGCTTACGCGACCGCTGCCCACAAAGTCGGCGTTCAGCCGATCCTCATCCGAGCCGTGGCTCAGTCTCAACAGATCGGGCTCTGAGGCAAACACACCGTTCGGATGAAGTGTCACAAATGGTTTGTCCTTTAAATTCAATTTCGGACACAAAAAAATTATGTTAAAGAGAGTGAAAGGAAAGCCAAAAAAATAGCGTTAAGTTCATAAAAATAGTTTTGCATATAATTTGCATGCATTGTATGCTATCGTAAATTCAGCTATAATTATATCAGTGATGGGGAGAGAGATATATCATGTCATATAGATTGCCACGCTATGGAAACACACTTTGTAAACCAGCCGTAACCCTAACATACTCAACACTAGCAGTGGCTACCGGTTGACGCCCACGTCAGGTAACGTATCATAATTGAAGTAATCCGTAATGTCTCGATGTGTATACCGTCACGAGCGCAGAGAGTCGCGGACAGTATGGTAAGTTATATGTATCGTAATCTGTGCGTAAGTTATGTGAAAAGTTACCCGAAATGAGCCATATTCACCTCAGTGGTTTCGAATATTCTCTCAATCCGAGAGTGAGAATAAGTGAGAGCTCCGGGAGCTTACATAAAGTGAACGCTAATATCCATCACTTTACAGATAATCAGCTAAAAATGTTTGGCACACGAGAAAAAACAGCACTACTTCTCCTGATTTAGTACTGATTTAAGTGGTGATCAGGGGATCGGAGGGGTGGGGGAGGAGGCGAGGGTTTAGGAGAGTTTTATACGGTATTAAAAAATGATATTTTACGGTATAATCAAAACGGGAGTTTTATTTCTCTCTCTCTCTCTCTCTCTCTCTCTCTCTCTCACTCACTCATTCAACGCTACGCTCTCTATATGTCTTATGCAATACAATGTACGGCACAACTGGTTATAAAAACCATACAGTTTTGGTCACACATACAGTGAAAGCGTGTAATCAATTAATACCTGCACTTGTCTTCGGTCGTGGGATAATCTGAACTCAACGTCTTTCACATCGATGTGCTTCTCATCGCCGGAGCCGTCATCCCTGTCCTCGCCGTCCAGTTTCAACATTTTCCTCAGTGCTCGCGTCTCTCAGCGCCTGTCATACCATTCAATATACATAGCATTAGACACGCATTCAATACACTTTTCAATGGGCTTTACTCGGTATAAGTGGAGTCACCAAAGCTTATAAGAGAGTTAGTGAGAGTGAGAATAAGTGAGAGCTCCGGGAGCTCACATAAAGTGAACGCTAATATCCATCACTTTACAGATAATCAGCTAAAAATGTTTGGCACACGAGAAAAAAAAACAGCACTACTTCTCCAGATTTAGTACTGATTTAAGTGGTGATCAGGGGATCGGAGGGGTGGGGGAGGAGGCGAGGGTTTAGTAGAGTTTTATACGGTATTAAAAAATGATATTTTACGGTATAATCAAAACGGGAGTTTTATTTCTCTCTCTCTCTCCCCCTCAGTCACTCATTCAACGCTACGCTCTCTGTATGTCTTATGCAATACAATGTACGGCACAACTGGTTATAAAAACCATACAGTTTTGGTCACACATAGAGTGAAAGCTTATAATCAATTAATACCTGCACTTGTCTTCGGTCGTGGGATAATCTGAACTCAACGTCTTTCACATCGATGTGCTTCTCATCGCCGGAGCCGTCATCCCTGTCCTCGCCGTCCAGTTTCAACATTTTCC